AAGCATAAAATGATAAGGCAAAACTAAACATAGATTAAAAAAACAATCATGACTTTTCTGCTTATTATTTTATAAACATCTGGATTTAATTCAACTCAAAGACATAGCTGAAAATCAACATAGGCACATAATACCCATTTAGAGTAACTGTTTAGGATATACAAATGATGAAAAACCTATATATAGATCAGTGAAGTGCTTTTACATTGCCATCAGAAGGGGAAAAAAGAGAATCTTAAAGAAGCTTGGACTTAAAAAATACTGTTCAGTCAATTAAATTATAAAATTGACTTATTTAAAAAAGGGCATTAATTTTGCTCTCTGAGAACTGTCCAGTAGTAACTGCTACATTTTTAAATGCTTCTTCCTAACCAAATTAATCTGATATTTAAAATAAAGGAAACTTCAAAATACTACTTGTAGGCCAGAGGGATAGTATAGAGATTAGTGTGCTTATGCTGCACATAGGTTATTCAAGTTCAATCACAGACACCACATACAGTCCTTTGAACACCCACAGCAGTGATCCTGACAACGGAGCCAGAAGGATGCCTTGAACATAGCCAGGGATGTCCCCCAAACAAATAAATAATAATACTTGCATTGAGGGTAATATAGGATAAATATAGTGGTTTTCTTCTATCTAAAAATTAATGAACAATTTTAATTTATAAAAAGCTAAACTGAGAAGTGCAATAAATCAAAAAGATCAACTGTGAAAACCCATAGAATCTTAAACTAAAACTGAAAAACTGATTACTTTTCGTGAGGAGGAAAGCTGATGGCCACATCTAGAGGTATGCTGGCCTTACTCTTGGCTCTGTGTTCAGGGATCTCTGCTGACGGTGCTCAAGGGAACATACAATGAGATCAAACAAGCACTGGCAGTGTATGAAATAAAGCACCAAACCTCCTATATCTAGCCCCAGAACTGAATTAACTTTTCTTGAAATAGTCCATATAAAACAACTTATCTCAGGCACAGCATGGCCTCTAATATTCAAAAAATTGCTGAAGAAATGGTTAGTCATAGCACAAAGCACTTCTTAAGAATTTGAATTTTTATGGGGACAAACCGATAGTATGGTGGGTAGTGCATTTGCCTTGCATGCAGCTGACCCAGCATCTCATATGGTTCCCCAAACCTGTCAGGAATGTGCCCTGAGATCAGAGTCAGGAGTAAGACCCGAATACCACTTGGTGTAAAACTTAAAATGTGATAAAATAAAATAAAAAGTAACAAAACTAAAAAATAGGTAAAAAAAAAAACAAAAAAACCACCACCAACAACAACAAAACCTCATTGTAAGGCCTTGTCCTCAAAGTAGTAGCAACTAAGGATAAAATCACTGACCTACAAAATGAGATGCAAGAAGTCTCTAGAAAACAATAGAAGTTTAAAAATATAAACGTCTCAAAATAAGTGAAAGAACAATAGAATAGTTCAAGAGGAACAACATAAGAACAACATAAGAAACATGAGGAACAAAAAGAGAATTCTGATGAAAAATTAGTCAAAAAATATTATAGCTGAGAAGCACCCAGAGCTGAGGAGAGCATCCACCCAGAATCAAGAGGGCCTAAGGGTATCAGCCAAAATAGATCCCAATACAAAAAACAGGACAAAAACAAAAATTAAAATAAATTTTAAAAGTAAGATAATTTTTAAAACGTTGAAAGAAGCAAGATCAAAAAAGAAAATTACATGCAAAATTAAACTTTTTTAAGATTCAGAGCAGAGGGCCAGAGAAATAATACGTCAGGTAAGATGTTTGCCTTGCACAGAGACAACCAGAGTTCGATCCCCAGCTTCCCATATATGATCCCCAAGCACTTCCAGGAGTAATTCCTGAGTGCAAAGCCAAGAGTTAAACCCTGTGCATTGCCAGGTGTGGCCCAAAAACTAAACAACGAAACAAAAAATAAATCAGAAAAGATTTATCAAGTAAGATACTGTGGGACAGAAGAAAATGATAGGATATAGTTAAAAAAAAACAACCCTCGATGAAATAATCACTCATTCAAAAATATTATACTCAGAGAGTTTATGATTCGTATTTAAATGAAAAATACATAGCAGAGCTTCACAGATAATCAACAGCTCAGAAACATCATAGCCTTTTAACTAACTTTGTAGTAATCACTAAAGGGGCCTTTTTTAGACAAAACAAACTTCACAATACACATAGCTTCACAATACACATAAAGATAGCAAAAAAAGAAAAAACTCCTTGTCAATTATCTTCCTCAATGTTAAAGAATTAAATGCATACAATTGAAGATACAAAGTGGCATGATGAATTAGAATAATTAAACCAAACTTCTCTCTGCCTATAAGAGACACATTTAAACAGTCAGAGCAAATACGGGCTCAAAGTCAAGTTTGGAAAACAATTTCAGGCAAATAATTCCCTTAAAAAGGCCAGGGTGGCTATACTTACACAAGACAACATAGCTAAAAGAATTTATAAGAGACAATTATAAGAGATGGTCATTTTTTAATGATTAAGGGATTTGCACAAAAGAACTCACACTTAAATTTTACTGTATATATGAACTAGACTAAAATTCAACAAGAAAACATTGATTTTAAGGGAAGAAATAGAATAGATAGGCAGAGCAGAAATATATACAACTTTTCATCTTCCAAAAGTCCAGTACACAACACACTCCAATACATAGGGGATATTCTCCAAGGAATACAAATCCCAAAACATATCTCCATTAACTCAAGAAGACAGAAATTTTATCAACTTTCCTCACCATGGTGAAAAGAGAAGCTAATAACAAACTGAAATAGGAAAAACTCCAATATTTGGAAAATAAAAAATTTTGAATCAGTATGTCCAAGAGGAATCAGAGAGGAAATCAAGATTCCTACAAAGTAGAAAAAAGATAGAAGCTACCAAGACATATGGGACACAGAAAAAGCAGGGTTACAACAAAAATGCATAGCAATGAAAGCTTTCATTAGGAAGCAAGTAGAGACCCACATATATAACCTAACTGCATACCTTAGCAATTAAAAAAAGACAAAGGGAATCAAAATCAAGCAGAAAAAAGAAAGTAACAAAAGTTAGACCAAAAATGAATAAAATGGCAATTACAATAACCATCAAAAAGATGAAAAAATCAAGAGCTGTTTCTCTGGAAAAAATAAACAAAATTGACAAACCAGGAGAAAGACTCACAAAGAAAGAGAAAACCTTAGTAAAACAAATAAGAAATGAAAGGAGAGGCATCCGTCATAACAGATAGTAGAAAAATTCGACGGATCATCCAGAATTACTTCAAAAGTCAAACAAAAGTCAAACAATCAAAATTCTCCCCAGAAGTCAAGAACAGACCCGTATGGGTTCATTAATGAGTTCTTCCAAACCTGTAAAGAAGATAGAAAGGGAATAAATATTTGCCCATGACTCACCTGATAAAGGATTAATATCCAAGATATATAAAACACTGGTAGATCTTTACGATAAATAAAAAACCATCCCCATGAAAAAACATGGGGTGAAGAGATATACAGAAACTTTCTCAAAGACATGCAGATGGCAAAAAGACATATAAAAAATACTCTACATCATTTATCTCAAAAATTCAAATCAAAACAACAATAATTTATCATCCCAGACCAGTAAAACTGGCATCCATCAAAAAGAACAAAATCAGGGGCTAGAGAAATAGTAAAGTGTGTAGGGCATTTGCCTTGCATTCAACTGGCATCGGTTCAATCTCTTGCACTCCATACGGTCCCTCAACCCTGAGAGGAGTGATTCCTAAGTAGTGCCAGGAGTATGCCCTGAGCTAACAAACAAAAAGAACAAAAGCAACCGGTGTTGGCATGGGGAAAAAGGGGCCCTCAGTCACTGTTGGTGGGAATACTGACAAAATTAGCCTTTTATGAAAATAATGTGGACCCTTCTCAAAACACTAGAAATTGAGCTTCCCTAGATCCAGCAATTCCACTTATTGGTGTCTACTTCAAGAGCCCCGGCCTCTATTCAGAAAATATATGTGTCGCTATGTTCATTGCAGCACAATTCACAATCGCAAAAATATGGAAACAACTCAAGTGTCCAAGAAAAGATGACCAGATAAAGAAACTATGGGATATATACACACAGTGGAATAAGAAAGAGAATTCATGCTGTGTTAACTGTCTCCGTTTTATTTCTCAAGGATTAACTGTGTTATGCTTAAGAGGGATTGAAAAGATGGTGGGTCAAGAAGACATTTGAAATAGCCACAGGATGTATTGATGGAGGCAAGCACAAGAATTTATGGACACCAAGGAGCTACAGTGACATCAAATGATACTTCTGTGTGCTTCTCAGAGGACTCAGTAACCTGATAAAGAAAATGGGAAAATTTTAGCTCCTCTAAAATTGGTAGTTCTGCTGTTCAAATTCAGCGAATGCTTTTTCCAAGGAGTTTGAAATAAGAAAAAAGGATGAAATGATGTAATTTGCTGCCACACAGACAGATCTGAGGTACATCATGCTGAGTGAAGTTAGTCAGAAGAGGGACAAACACAGAATGATCTTGCTTATATGTGAGATATAAAGAAGCAAAGTAGAGGTGTAACTAATAACAAGGGCAACAGAAACGGAGAACTCTTCAGTAGGAAGCTAACACCAGGGAAGGATAGAAGAGAAACTGAGTGGGGGTGGGGGACACAATGGGACAACAGAGGAGCAATGTGGTCCCTCTCGTGAAGGGTTTGGTGCCAGAATGTGTTACGCATGAAACCCGATCACTACCAGGATGGCAAACCACAACATCAAAAATAAACCACAAGGGGTTGGAGCGATAGCACAGCGGGTAGACATTTGCCTTGCATGCGGCCCACCTGGGTTCGATTCCCAGCATCCCACATGGTCCCCCAAGCACAGCCAGGAATAACCCCTGAGCATTGCCGGCTGTGACCCAAAAAGCAAAAATATAAAATTAAAATTAAATAAACCATAAAACACAAAATAAGAAGAATTTTGCTTTTCTACCTGATTATTCCTGTCTGAAAGCTGATCAAGAGATTCGGACTGCTTCTCCAGTTCTCGCTCTAACTTCTTATGCTTCAGCTTCCACTGCCGAATGACCTCCTGGGCTCTGTGTTTCAGTTCTTCTCGCCTCTTCTCGGCCTCCTGCCGCAGGGCGTCTGACTGCTGGAACTCCAGGAGGTACTGTTCGGCCTGCCTGGTTGCGTTCTCGGCGTGCTGCGTGAGCTCTGAGATCTGGAGCTCAGCATGCTTCTGCTTGGCCTCGCATGTCTCAAAGTGATTCTGGATCTCCTTCAGTTGATCCAACATCTGTAACTGCTGTTTCTCCCTGCTCTCCAACTCGCATGTTAAATTCTAGGAATAAAGCACATGAATATTAGCAACATATTCTTGACACAAGTGGGCACATACAGATCAGACAAGAATCTCTAATGCCACGTAGTTGCTCAAGAAGGGCGGTTGATGCCTACCTAACATGGGGGGATGCCCTGGGTTCAATCCCTAGCACACATGGTTCCTATCTCTGACTGGACCTCAAGCATCACCAGGTGAGCTCCCCCATTAAAAAAAAAAAAAGAATCAAAAATATTCCCTGTGAGATTAGTACCAGGAATTTTGCTCCATGACTTGGAGGCCAGCCACATGTGCTAGGGGAAAAGGAAGCTCAGATACAGATGGGAGCACCAAATAAAGGGTGTTGAGAGGATCCTCCCAGGATGGGTGAAGCATGCTGAAAGTAGACTATAAACATGATTGCCTTTCAATGCCTCTCTTGCAAACCACAAAACCCAAAAGGAGAGACAGAGAGAACAAAAGGGAATGACCTACCACAGACGCAGGGTGGGATAGGGGGGATGGGGGGTGGGAGGGATGCTGGGACCCATGATGGTGGAGGATGGGCGCCTGTGAAGGGATGGGTACTTGATCATTGTATAACTGAAATCCAAGCACAAAAATTTGTAAGTCTATAATTGTACCTCGTGGTGTTTCACTAATAAAAAAATAAAATAAAATAAAATAGAATAGAATAAAAAAGAATGCAGGGGTTCCTAGAACTAAGGCTAATGCTCTGCCACAGAGGCAGAGTGGAATGGGAGAGATGGGGGGTGGGAGGGACACTGAGATCAGTGGTAGTGGAGAATGGGCACCAGTGGAGGGATGGGTATGCAATCATTGTATAACTGAAACCCAAGCAAACTCAAAAATTTTCAAATCTAACTGTACCTCATGGTACTTCATTAATAAAAATCTAAAAAAAAAAACCCTGTGAAGTGGAAATACTCTATATTAAATTTTATTATAAATCAATCTGGAGAAATATGAATTATTTTCCATATATTTTATAATCACATCTGGGAATAACTTTATATATATAAGTAAAGTAAAGTAAAGGCCCTCCCATTGTTCATCGATTTGCTCAAGCGGGCCCAGTAACGTCTCCATTGGAGATTTTGTTGTTACTGTGTTTGGCATATCGAATACATCACGGGTGGCTTGCCAGGCTCTGCCGTGTGGGCGAGATACTCTCGGTAGCTTGCTGGGCTCTCCGAGAGGGGCAGAGGAATCGAACTCGGGTCGGCCATGTTTGCTGCGTGCAAGGCAAACACCCTACCGCTGTGCTATCACTCCAGCCCTATTTATTTTCTTAAATCTGCTTTTCTACCTGATTATTATATAAACTTTATATATACTTTCTTAATATATACTTTATATATACTTTCTTAATATATACTTTATATATACTTTATATATACTATATAAAGTATATATAAAGTATATATATAGTATATATGTAAAGTATATATATAAAGTATATATATAAAGTATATATATAAAGTATATATAAAGTATATATATAAAGTATATATAAAGTATATATTTATATATACTATATAAGGTATATATAAAGTATATATACTATATAAAGTATACACTTTATATATACTTTCTATATACTTTCTTAATATATACTTTCTTTATATATACTTTCTTAAATTTGTATTGAAACTGTTTACATTTTTACTTTTTAAATAGCACACACAGTGCTCAGGGTACCCAAGATCTCCCCTGATGGTTCAGTGTCCTGTCCACAAATGCTACCTGTGCTTTTTTCTAGCCCAGGGACACGCAAAGGCAATATTTGGAGACCACCACCATGGCTAAACCTGGCAGTCCTAGACTAGAGAACATGCAGTGCTAAGGATCAAACACAGGTCTGCCACATGCCAAACATGTGTTCTACTATTCGAGCTATCTCCCTGGCCCAAATATACCCTTAGACTACTCCATAATCCAACAACAGGGAAAATATGCATTTCCCAACTGACTCACTAAAACAGAAGGTTTTAAATTCTGATTAAAAAAAATACATATACATACAATATACGCACTGTTTTAGTAAGATCTGAGGGTTCGGAAGCTGGAGAGAGAGTATGTAAAGGGTTAGGGTGTATGCCTTGTATATAGCTCGATATGACTAGATCCCAGGTCAGTCTTTTCTACCAGATTCCCCCAGCCTCACTGGATGCAGTTCTGGAGGCCTCAAGCAACTATGAGTGTGGCCCTGCTGCATTCCTTGGCACCGTAGGATGTGGCTTTGGAGGGCCTGGATTACTTCCAGGATGGCCTTAGTAATCGTCAGCACCCAGGAACAGGGCAGCACTAAACTCTTTTAAGTCATCAGGACTGGAGCAATAGTACAGCAGGTAGGGCATTTGCCTTGCACGTGGCCGATCCATGTTCGATTCCCAGCATCCCAAATGATCCCTCAAGCACTGCCAGGATTAATTCCTGAGTGCAAAGCTAAGAGTAACCCCTGTGCATTGCCAGGTGTGACCCAAAAAGAAAAAAAAAACCCTCTCAAGTCCTCACAAAGAACCACAAGTCCAGCTGGCCAAGAATCAGAATCACTGATCACTGTGAGAATCACAGTGAATCCTGAGCACTATTTGGAAGACAAGCACCCCTCCCCCAAATCTAGAGTTCTGTCCATCTGAAGAAATACCAATGTTTTAAACTGTCTCAGGTTATCAGAATTATTCATAGCACTCACAAATAACAACTAAATTTCTGCTAGCGCAAAGAAGTTTCTATAACGTCCAAAAAAAATGAGTGCTAACAATAAAACAAAAGCATAAACTGTGTTTTAAAGATCATTTAAGAGACTCCTGATGAAGTATTTATGTAAAAAAAGGTTATCCTTAGATAAATCAACATAATATTATAAGATAAAGTACTTATCTCAAGCTTTCATGAACCACAGTAGGACTAATTTTTAATTAGAAGTTTATATGGAACACTTCTCTAATCAAGAAAAGAATCTCAACACTTAAATATAGCTTGCTTCTCTAAAATTTGAATATTACTCTAAATCATAATAATTCTATTTTGAATTTCAGAATGGGCAAATATCTACTTTTCAGTTCAAAAAATGAGGGTAACTTGATTTTATATAAGATCTTTAAACAAAATTTTAAAAAATTAGAATTATTAACGTTAGGTCACTTTTGTCAAGTTTTAGAAGGGAGTAATAAATGCAGAAATAAATGTTTACAATGTATCCCATAAATTGCTCTGTGTGAAACTCAATTGCCAAGTACCCTAGGAAACACCAGCAACATGAAAAGGTCATGTGTCCAAAAAAAAAAAAATCGAATTCAGGAGAACAAGAGGATGATGCATGCTGCACAACCAATTTCATCTACACTGTACAAAGGTACCCAAAAACAGAGACTGGAAACACTGACCAATTGCCTCTGGCTCTGACAAAAGAATGTTCAGCTTCAGATTCCATTAGTCCTGAAATGTGGCTCAGCTAAATATAATTTTTCTCATGATTAAAGTCATGGTTTGACATTATGACAAAAAAAAAATTTAAGCCTCAAAAATAAACTTTATTTTCTGAGCAACAGGTTTGCATTTGCTCGGTCTGCTAAATTCAATAGAGCCTGGAAGAGATGAGTCACTCCTTTCCCCACCCAAACAAAATAGTAAATTGAGAACTGTGCACTTGTTTGTCTGGAAAATTCTAAAATGAGATCAGAAAACTCTAGAGATTGTGGCTTTTCTTATTGCACTTATCTAAAAGTTTACCACAGTGCTAAAACTCAAGTTTACTAAGTAATTTTTTTTTCTTTTTGGCTTTTTGGGTCACACCCAGGATGCTCAGGGGTTATCCTGTCTCTACACGAATCACTCCTGGCGGTGCTCAGAGGACCATATGGGACGCGGGGAATCAATTTGGGTCCGCCGCACTCAGGGCATGTTCCCTATCCACTGTACTAACGCTCTGACCCTATTAAGTGATTTTTGCATCAAAGAAGAGGTATCAGTACAGACCATACAACAAACACCATCTTCCACAGTCTCTTGGCAGCGGAGGTACAGGAAGGCATGGACCAAAAACATGAATATTGGCTCTATTGTAGCCACCTTATCTCACTGTAATAAATTGATTAAATAAAAAGTGACTGTCACTGTCCTCCCATTGTTCATCAATTTGCTCGAGGAGGCCCAGTAACAACATGTGAGACTTGTTGTTACTGTGTTTGGCATATTGAATACATCACGGGTAGCTTGCCAAACTTTGCCGTGCAGGCGAGATACTCTCGGTAGTTGGCCAGGCTCTCCGAGAAGGGCAAAGGAATCGAACTTGGGTCGATCATGCTGGCCATGTGCAAGGCAAACACCCTACCCCGTGTTATTGCTCCAGCCCAAATAAAAATTAGATCATTAAAAAAAAAGAGGTATCATTTTATTTTCCCCTAATAAAGACATAGGAGAGCAGTTTACACCTATGTGTTTGTTTATAGAAATATCTGTAAGACCTGACTTAACACTGAAGAGGCTAACAGTATGAAGAGAAAGATATCCACACTAACAGCTAAACCACAACAGTGGATCATAAAGGGAACAAAAATGACACTTGACAGCATCCCTGGAAAGGGGCTCTCTTAGGAGATGAAGCACAAGCTGAGATCTGAAGAAAAGGTACTGGCAACAATAATTACAATAGTGAACAGCATTACTGAAGTTTACTGGGCTGGAGCAATAGCACAACTGATAGGGTGTTTGCCTTGCACGCAGCCGACCTAGGTCGATTGCTCTGCCCCTCTAAGAGAGCCCAGCAAGCTATCAAGAGTATTGTGCCCGCACAGCAAAGCCTGGCAAGCTAACCGTGATGTATTCGATATGCCAAAAACAGTAACAAGTCTCATAGTGGAGACTTTACTGGTGCCCGCTCAAGAAAATCAATGAACAACAGAGGACAGTGTTATACAGTGCTATACTGAGCACTTGAATTATGCAAGGAACTCTGAGAACAGAAAACATTTTTCAATCCCATTACAAAACTA